CTTCTCACCTCTCTTCAAGGACACAAACTTCCAATATGGAGATTTCCGATCCCCTTTGAAGTACGTATGCACTGTACTTCGTGCAGATTGCGTTTTAAAAGGGAGCATCTTACGTATATAGCAATGTCAAACATTTCTCGTTGTTATGGCTGATGCTTGTGATCAAGAGCTGAAGTATATTTTCTCAGCCAAATACGTCGATGTGGACGAGTGCCTTGACGATGCCTTCCTTTCGGCGTAGCTTGGTACACATCAGCCACACATCTCATTTGCGAATACACTCCCTTGAACTCGTCATTGGTTGAATAGGCAGCAGGGTTCCTGCAGATCCATTCACTTTAAGCCTAAATGTAATGCGCAATATTTCAAATTTATGTGTGGGAACACACGAATGCAGAGCAGTTGCTGTCAGCTAGCCGATGATAGGTTCCCCTCCAGCCACTTAATTACTCAAACATTACAACCAGGATACTCTACAGTTCTAAAGCGACACTACGTGTCCTTAATTTCTACAGAACTTATTTTAAACACCAGAAAGGACTAAAACATGTGAATTTATAAACTGACAAACACATGCGACACACATTAACTAAAGCGAAGTATTCAAACAAGTTATAATTTAATCGTCTAATAAATTCTAAAGCAATTTTTACACGCATGTGAATGCACTGAATGACGGACCGTTTCAGCTGTAGCACAAAACTACGAGAATGAGATTATTTATAATGAGGTAGAATCCTACATCTATTTTCTTGTTACAAACTCCAGAAGCCTCGCTAAGGTACGGTTCAGCACAAGCATATTTTTACGAGTTACTGAACAACCTGTCATATTTGTGACGCTGAGCTGAGGTGAGAAATTGAGGCACCGGAAGTGTGACACCGATAGCGAAATTCAACCGTGGTGACTGTACACTGATCTACACGAGGCCATCAGAATGGGGAATGAGATAGCATTCTGCTGCTGTCGGCCATGATTACCCTTAAAAACTCACACAGGTTGATATCATGCCAATTTTTTACTATCGTCAAAACCTTTAAGGACGTAGAGTCTCCTCAAACGCCTATTTGAAATTTCGACTAGAAAACGAACAGGACTTGCCATTCAAAATACAAAATTAACAGTTATAAATAGTTTGTCGTCCTAGTAATTAGCAATATTGGTCACAAATTTTTTAGAATGGTGCCTCTTATCTACTTATGGTTTGTGTGTGCACACTTTCTGGTAATATCGAAATCTTTCCAAGAAGATTTGATGAGGATGTCAAGCAAGAGTCATGAACCTCTCGACTGAATAAAAATTTGGTGACACGCCAAATAAATGGGTTGAACTCGAAGGAGAGGCCAAGAATTCCTCGTACTCGTGAGAATGGACCCCTCAGTTAACCTCCTACTGATTTGTTGCAATTTTATGTCGATTCCCTCGACGACTGCCAACTGCCACTATCTAAATTTATCTGTCACTCGTGTTCAGGGGTGTATCGAGTGAGTCAGACCATACAATACAGTGAATCGGCCCAATGCAGTCCAATTTAGCTAATTCCCTGCATGCTACATGAGTTGCCCTTTGATCTGACCATGTTAATTTGAAATGGTATATGGTTCAGCGCACTCATCAATGGATGGAAAATTGCAAAAATTTCGAAACGCTTGCAATCTCACATGATTGTACGCATGTGTTCTGGATTACTTGTTTTAGCACTTCGAAGCCCTTGAGACACTTCAAAGCCATTATGAGGAGTTCAGGTTTGGAAGTGGTCTTATATAAATATACTAATGACTGTGAAACTATTGGCCACACTTCAGGCTGTCCAAATCTCAGGCAACCAAAACAGGTCCACGCAGATTAATTAACTAATTTGGAACTGCCCAGGTTCGAATTTAAACATTGAGTTTGAACGATAAACAGACCATTCGAGTCATTTATAAATAACCCCATATAGGGTACCCAAGGCATTCCTCACACGATTACCATAAGGCCTGCATTCACACAGTATGCCATCACCACCAACTCTGGTCTGTCTTTTTCTTCTCCTCTCATTCACCTCACACCCAGTCCTTACCAACATCGTGACAGATGGTGGCGCTCTGTCAAAGCTGAAGACGGATCTTTCCGAGGTGCCTGACCATCCGGAGAATGATGAGGTTGCTGTGAATGTGGACGAGAATGAGGAGCTGGATGGGCCTGATGAGGGCGATGGAAGAGAGGGTGGCCTCATGCCAGCTGCATTGCGTAGCCGCTGGAGAAGGATCAACTGTGGTCCTCGTCATGGAAGTAGAAGGTCCCAACGCTTGCCACGTCCATCTCATCCTCCTCGTCTTCCTCAAAGATCATTTGCTCTTGCCTGATCCCATACCAATGCACTCCACATAGAGCAGTGTAATTTAGAAATTGTCTGAGTTTCCCTGGTTTGCTCTATCTCTCCTTTAGTAAATGTGGAAAATGTTGTAATCCTGTTTTCTACGTAAAGTTATGTTAATCTACTACAGTCGATTAAAAGCTTGTGTTTTCTAACTGTTTCATTTTCTTCTAGAGAACCTTCTTCGTTAAATTTGGTTTCAACTTTTCATCGGTTTGACCACGTGATTGTAGAGGCAGGACAGTGCTTCCATTTTCACTTAGGCGTCCTCTGTGAGTCTTGCTAGTGGCAGAATCGCCTTAAATGTATACTTTAAGGTAGAATTAGAGAGGGAGGTCGAAAGGGGGGTGGGAGTGGAAAAGATGGAGAGAGGAGGGAGGGAGAAAGAAACAGCGTAAGTAAAAGCAACAACCGGACTCCAACTAATCTTGGTTAGTAAATCAATTATAGCAATAAGTGGACTGATCAGGTTCAGAACTGATACTTTATGGGACATTTGTTAGCTTCAAGAATGCAGAATGAAACAAGAAA